TAACTCATCCTACTGTACCTGCATTCCCTGTCATTCGATAGGGTAGCTATCCGGATTACCAGGTGCTCCTTTGAGCCAATAAGAAATATTTGCCTTGTTTCAATTATGAGATAATCATTAGAGTGTCACACAGTGTGCAGGCTCCATTGAGGGAACGCAGTCAGAGTTTGTTGAGTGGAATAATGCTTTTCTGTCTGTGCAAAAGTATGACTCATAATGAATAGTAACGGTAGCAAGCGGCATGTACTTTTACTTTTCCTGCAATCTTCCTTGTGAGACAATGCCACCCCAAGATGGCGTCCATTTGGCTGCAGCATTTGTCTTCTCTTCACCCTCTGTGTCAATATCACTTTCCTTTTGGACAGGTCAGGTGCCAACCCTTTGCAGAATACCATGCATGAGTCCGGGTGGGTTGGGGGGGGGGGGCATGCTGAGATACCAGAATTTGGCTCTCATGTGTGTGTGCGGGGAGGGGTCGGCGGCGGGGGGCATCGCCAGTTGGCAGGCTGGCACACAATGGCTGGCACGATAAGATCCTCCCTCTTCTGCGGGCAGATTTCCTCGCCCATATCTTTTGTTTGGCTTGTTTGGGTTGCAGCTCATCCTGATAAAGGCCACTTTGTTTAGACAACAAAGCGCGAGGGAGGCAGAGAAGAGAGAGATAAAGAGACAAAGAGATAGAAAAAGAGAGAGAGGGGGCATTACAAACAAATAAAGGCGGCAAAGGGGGGAGAGCATCGACATACATGGGGACTTTAAAAGAAAGATGTTAAAAAACGAGGAAATTTGAAAAAAGATACACACGTGATAAGACGATATCTCCACATACACACTAAATGGTAGATATACACAGAGGCATGTATGAAAAGAGACAATAGAGGAAGGATACTGTTGCAGATAGTGAGAGAGCCGGTTCTGCTGCTATGGAGCCGCCGAGCAGCGTGAGGTCATCGCCGGAGCTGCCAGTGATAGAAAGCAGGAGCAGAGGAGGACATGGGACAAAGTACACACACATTCCATACGGGCACATGTACGGCCATTTACTGTCAAGACTTGCATGACCCTGCGCTTCACACACATATTTTTCTGTGTGTGTGCAAGCAAGAACAAACTGGTCTCCTGCAGCAGGAAGGGAAAGAAAAGCAGGAGGACACTGAGCAGAAAGTCTGCCCGGCCACATCAAATATTTACTCAGGAGCAGCTGTATTGTCGAAACATTACGCATTGGAGCTGCTCCGTAATTAGGTCGATATTTTCTCCCTCTCTCAGTTTCCCTACTTCTCCGGGAGTCCACCCCTCTCCTCCACACTCCCCTCCCCTCACCTCCCGAGGCTGCTGAAATGCGTCTTGGCTCGGGACCCATGCCTCTGGCAGCCAGAGTGCTATACATGTGCACAGAACCCCGCTCTGCATAAAATGGCTGCCAGACAGGCTTCTCCTCCTGAAATGTCGACAGCGGTATGCATCTGCAGGGTGTGTGTGTGTGTGTTGCGCGTGCGCACTGTTTTTTTGTGGAGGATATCTGTACGTGTCTGCAAGTGTTTGCGGGCAAGGAACGTGCACCGCCGCTGTCAGAAAAAAAAAAAGTTTCCCAAACTATGTGGCTAATTTAATCCACGCTGTGTGTGTGTGTGTGTGTGTGTTCCGCAATTTAGTGGGAACAGAATCGGTATGATGCCAAAATATGAGAGGGTGGGTTAGGGAGAGAGTGTGTGCGAGTGTTTTAGTGATTATAAAAGCCAGGCGAGTAACACACTTGGGCGTGGAGGAACCTCACAAGCACTGAAAAAACTTTTCTTGCAGAGCCAGATTTCTGTTGCCATTACACCTAATTGCCCTAATCGTTACAGTGGTATGATAAGTATCCCACCGGACAAGAAGGTGTAAGAACTCGTGGACAAAATACCCACAAGCCCACACTTTTTTTCTTGCCGAGTAACAGCAGATAATGTGATTCATACGTGGCCCTGTTTTTTCACTTCCTTCATGAATCGGTTTGTTTATTTAAACAAGTGGCAGGGACGGAGGGTGCCAAAAATGTTGTTTGGAAAAGGGCCGTGTGTGTATGTGCGTGTTTATGTATGTGTGTGTGTGAGAGAAGGCGTGTGTGTATGTGGTGTCTGGCCCTGTGATCCAGGCCTGCCAAGCTCCCGGGGCAAAGCCCAGCCTCCTCGACCGCAACTGTTTATTTACAGGTTACACTACTGTTTATTTGAAGACTATCGGATTGGCTAGGGCTTTGCACAGGACACCTTTTAGATACAGATACCAGGCTCCGAATACCCCGCTTCTTTACTTTATTCAAACCACTTTCTGAAGTGCATTTTTTTATTTAACTGCACTTAAATCCAGCTTTTTACAACCCAGAATTATCTTTCTTGGACCTGTTTGTGCTTTTAATTGAGGCTTTATTGAAATACCTGTTGAGTGACGGTGTGAAATAAAGTGTTCAGCAGATATAATCAGCACCCTTGCGGCCTGATAAATGTGCGCGCACTGATCTAAACGATTGTAATCAGGCTGAAAGAAGATGAAGGAGCGTGGAGCTGCCCTTCCCGGGTCAAAGGTAAAATGTAATGCAATAGGGGCGGTGTTTCCAGGCCTGGCAGATGCGCCATATGCTCGCGTCCCACCTTGAGTCATCCAGGTGGTCTCTCCTGGTGCGACAGTGGGGCCTCATGCTGGAAGATGCTGCCTGGGATCTCTAATTGCCACCACCATCTGCTCTTTTTGTCATGTCAGCCCTCGGAGTATGAGAGAAACCAAACCAAAGACACGAAACTCCGATCCGATCTAAACGAACCCTCTCCCACCTCCCTCTCTCCCCTCACCACCTTCTCCGGCGTTTACCTCATCCCCACTCTCTGGTTGCTCTTTTCTCTCCTCTGGCTCCTTTCTTCCCCGCTCAGCAGTTTCTCAGGGCGCGAGCGTAGACTTGGCAGTCGTAACGAGACTGATGGATGACTCTGAAAGTGGCATGGGGAGGGGGGCGGAGACGGAGAAGACAGGAGACAAGGCCACTGAGCTCCGTGCAATCACTTTATGGACATGTGCTGTGCCAAATCCACACTACCGTCCGCTCGCCCACAAAAGCTCCTTTACATACTGTGTGTGTGTGTGTGTGTGTGTGTGTGTGTGTGTGTGTGTGTGTGTGTGTGTGTGTGTGTGTGTGTGTGTGTGTGTGTGTGTGTGTGTGTGTGTGTGTGTGTGTGTGTGTGTGTGTGTGTGTGTGTGTGTGTGTGTGTTGTGTGTGTGTGTGTGGTGTGTGTGTGTGTGTGTGTGTGTGTGTGTGTGTGTGTGTGTGTGTGTGTGTGTGTGTGTGTGTGTGTGTGTGTGTGTGGTGTGTGTGTACTGTAGGGGTCAACTTAATAGAATAGTTGCTTATTTCTGCAAGGCAAACTTTCCTGAGAATAGACAATGATGTCAACAGTTAACAATTTGTATTACTGGTATGATGATCTGAAAACGTATGTCATTGGCCGATGATTGACTTCATCTAATGCTAAGATGAATGCCAATCAGTCTGTTGTTCCAGCTTCTCAAACTTGAATATTTGACGCTCTTTTCATGTTAATAATTTAATAATGAGGTTTTAAACGTTTTGAATGAGCAATTTTACAATGTCACCTTGAGTTCTTGGACATTTTTCATCACTTTGGCATTTCTGAGGACTCAGAAACAATCACAAATTGAGTTATCAGTAGCTGCAGCTCTAACTAACTGTGTGCAAATGAGATTTACCAGAGATCCATAAAACGACGTGTTGCAAAAGCATTTGTCTGGCTTGTGTTTTTAGGAATCAGAGCACGGATTGTGCGACGGTAACTTTTAACTCCACTCTTACATATAAGCATACTGAAGAGGGGGATTTTTTTTTCTTCTTAACGTATGGTCCCGTTCCCTCCCTACTTTGTCATTGTTGAGCTTCGGCCAAGAACATTCTGTTTTTGCAGGGCTGTTTAATAGTCAAATTTAGGAGAGGGGGAACGAGAGAGAGAGACACAGAGAGAGAACAAGAATAAATCTTTCAACTTTGTTCTCCTCCATCTACCCCCCCCCCCCTCCTCTTCTTTCCTTCTCTCTGTAACGCTGCTCATGAGGGCTGCGGCAGGAAAAAGGGGGTGTTGATGCACGGCGAGGGTATCTGAGTTCACTTTCTCCAGCTTCTTATCTGGGCTCTCGTATTTAAGGCGTAGATGATAATCTCCCTGCTGCTTCTCATTGGCGTGTGGGGGCTTCGGCCGTCATTACGGGGGTCCACGCAGACTGTTTGGCACGGCAGCATTTCGGTGTGTGATTGTGAGGCCTTGATATGTTGGGGTTATTCTTTCCAACATACAACAGCAAGTTGATGTCTCCCAACGCTTGCTGTTGTTTGATGGGGGAGGAACTGCTGAGGAAAAGACGTCAGTCCGGGCCGACTCATACCAATGCCGGTGGAAAGAATTCCACTCATGTTTCCTTGTGTTCCCCCGCCCCTCCTGTCCTCTCTCCACGTTCTGTGCTCGTACCTTGCACAGCGGGACCGAACACATTCTGCGTCCCCCCCCCCCTTCCAACACCCTCTCGGCCCCTTTGAAAAATTACCCAGAGGTCTGCCGGTAAAAACTTTTTAGCTATCGAGTGTCAGACAGAGAGCTTTTTTTCTTCCCATTAATGATAATGCTGTTCAAACAAAACTGTCTTGTTTAATGCACAGTGGGTATGCTCGCCTGGTAGATAAGGAAAACATTAAGACACCCAGGAAGCCCTGAAATGCACTTTGTCTTGTTGGAAAAAAGTGATTTCTTCTTTTTAAACAACCTCAGGGAGGATTAGTAGGTCAAAGGTGTTTGACAAACTGTAAAAAAGAGAGATCAAATACATTTCTAAAATACTTCAACCAGGTTATCTTGGGAAACAAATCAATGCTGACAAGAGAACCGTGTTTCAGTAAGATGGCATGTTATTGTCCTCTTGCTTTACTAAGCCCCCCTCCTCATCTCTCTGTGTGTTTGCAGACTCGCAGCAGTCAGGAAGTCCCAGTAACAATGAGCAAGGCAAGAACCCTCTTCCAGGTATGTACAGTACCAGCCCTCCTCCCTCCTGTCATCGCTCTATTGTTCCCGGCAGCTCGCCCTATGCACACCACAACTTACCTTCTTTAAATAAAGCAGCAAAACCCTCACTTAACAAAAACAATCAAGAGAAACTGTACTGTACTGCCTTAGGTGCTTTCCACACCATGTGATCCAACAACAACCATAGACAAACGGCAATTTGTAAAAGCACAAAACCAGCTCATTCTGATTAAGTCAATTCATCTGCAAAAAATGGACCATTCAGAAAATTGACACACTTGTTGTAAATAATCAGATATAAGTGATTTTTTGACTTCTGTGTGACATCCGCTGGCTAAGGACGTAGCTTAACTTTAAATGGAGCGAGGAGAAATAACACGGATGATTACATTTGAAGCGTCATCATCCTGAAGGCCAAGAAACTAAAGAGTGAAAAGTTTACAGCACATTGCACCTTTGGCTGGTAGCTGAGTGTGTCATGTTGAAGCAGCTGCCAAGAATACTCTCTCACAGCGACGCTGTTGTTCCCCGCACTGACCTGCGCTCTGTCGTCACAATATTGGAATGAAAAGAGTTTGAGAAGTATAATTAGTTGTCTACCTCAAGAGCAGGTTCTGCCGATACAGGTGCCAAGGAAAACATGTTAGCGAGCCAATGACTCAGGGCTTGGAGGCCCCTCAGCAGTGGCACCGCTCTGGAGGCATGAGGCTTTGTAGGTGCCAATGGAGCCGCCCGCCTATCTCTCTGGCACTGCCACACCGACTTTGGCACCGCATCAAAGCAGAGCCAGAAGTCATTTGGGTGTCAATAACTTGTCTGACTGTTTGACTTGACTTGCAGCCTCTGATGAGTGTCACTGGTCATACAAGAGATGCTTCAACACAATATACATTATCATTCTTTGGGCTGTGTGAGGAAAACAAATCTTTAATTTGTTTCCAAAGCGCCTTCCAAAGCTTACATTGGATTACATTACCGAGTAACTAAGCTTTAATGTAAACACTGCAGCAAACGGCTCTTTAAGGTGGATATTTGTTGATGGGATAGTGTATCTAAGTCCACTGACGGTTGTTAAGTTTTGCTTGTGTATTTGATTAAATAAGCGGCGCCTGCCTCCCTCACTGGTTTCCTCTCAGCAGCAGTGTCAACACCTCCCCCCCCTCACACACACCTGTCCTGTCACTCTGTACTGTACTGCTGCGCACCACACTGTCACTTTAAACACTTAAAAACAGGCACAGTAACTAAATTTGTTGTTCCGTAAAACACATTGAAGTCCATAAAACTCATGGTAGTAATAATAAAGACGACGATAAAGAAAAGCATGAAACTACTGATGAACTGATTTTATTTTTACTATCAGTATGACTGAGTCCCTGTGTGTCATGATCTATAACTGTGTATTTGTCTGTGACGAATTGATGACTTCATATACCTCTTGCTTTAAAATGTTAAATATATTTATATAAATATAGGATTTTGTTTATTGGTTTCAGTCTCAATGTGGTCTGTTTCCATGTTTGACTACTTAAGGTTATGCTTAAGGGAAAAGTGTGGTTAAATAAGTATTTTGTTTACTTCAGTGTTTAAAAAAAAGAGGGTTTATAGATATATTGATCACTGTGTTGAGTTCACATTCAAAGAAATATGTGGCATGGAGGATAAATCATCAACTCTTAATTTTGTATATATTTGAGTATAATAATAATAATGATTGCATGAATTGTGTTTGTTTCTACAGTCTACTTGGAGGACAGCTTCATCAAATCAGGAGTCTTCAGTGTTGCAGAGCTGGTGCGAGTGTCCAGAAGTAAGTACACAGTTATTATTTGTTGTTTATAAGTGTTTAGCCTGCGCACACAGGTGTTTTCAGGTATTGTGTTCCTTGCCACTGATTCCCCCTCGGCTCACATTGAAGCTGGGCGGAGCTACGAGCGAATCGCGCGAGGAGAACAAAGTCTATGTACTGACAAGAATGCCGAGGGTGTTAGTTTCCCTGCCCTAACAGGTGCAAGCCAGATCATATGAGTCAGGGAGATGTCAATCAAACACAGTCTGTACACACCCACAGGGGTCTAATCAGGTCACAGAGAAACGTTTAATCTTTTCTTTTAATTAAATCCAGACTGAAAGTGTTTTTATTTGTACAGAATATGTAGCTAACAGCTTTTCTACAAACCTGTGTATATTTACTGAACTACTGTGCTGTAACACTGCACTGGCAGATCCAGTTTGTCCAGTCTGTTGACTGCGCAGCCGTCTGTGTGAGCCTGTGTGCATCTGTACAGACACGTCCACGAGACGGTTGTTCTCGCAGCAGTTCTCTCCTCTCCAAGGGCCCCCGAGGTGGCGTTTTTCCTGTGCTTCAGAACATGCCTGCGGTGCACAAAGTCTCCAGTCACCCCCAATAACTTGTGTTTAAGAGAAGCATACCTGTCTGTGTGTTAAAGTCTATTCCAGTCCCATAGTGTGAGTCCTGTTTAGTGCAGAAACTCTGAAGTGCAGCTCAACTAAATGCCAGTCTACACCACAGACTATTACATTAGATTTACCCGACCCGAGTTAGGTTTGTGCCAATCTTATGGTGCTTTTTTAAATTGAGTTATTTTAAAGGTAATATTCTGTAGTGTCCAGACTTTGGTATGTGCTGTGCTGCCATTAACCGCATTATAACCAATGAAGTTATTGACAGAATAAGATTCAAACTAACAAAATATTACAATAAGAGGGTCATAAAAAAAATCATATGCATAATGCTTTGTTCTAAAAATCAATATCCTGCTGTTCTGCTGGTTTCAATAATGACTGAATGACTGGCTTATTCATATTTGTTTTGCTGTTTGCTATTTTTCCACAATCTGTTTAATATTTATGACAATGGCAATTCTTACTATTTTGAACACCAAATTATTAGTCCAAAAAAGACATTAGCTGATGAAAATACTTGATAGTTTTGGCCCTAAAGTGATGACCAAAATCGTCCAAATCCTCAACTCTCCTGTGCTCAATTACCCTCAAACATCCAAAAATAAAGACTAATAAATATTCCCTGTTCCCGGGTTTTTTTACATGGGAAATCCTCATTGTAGTCAATTGGCGTTTCACATGTTTATGGCTGCAGAACAGCACTCTGTATCTAAAGCTGACCTTGTTGTGTGTCTACCTGCCGTATCAAAGTGTCTCCGCTGCTGCAGCTAGACCAGGTCGTCCTACTGCTCCCATACATCATGCTCTGAAAGGCGGAACCTGCTCCTTTTCCATGCTCAGACTGAATACCCTTTAAAGCCCGTGTTTTTGTTTAGTGTTTAATTCGCCCCCTGACCAGATGGCCGCCGCGCTGCCATGCCTGCTCTCATGTGACCGAGCCCCTGTTTTTCACTGAAGCCGACTGAAGTGGAGCTGGAATTTTAAAAAGGTCGACGGACACAGAGGAATTGTCACTCACTCAGCCGGTCACTCCCTGGGAAGACATCTAAGCAGCCGCTCGTCCGTCAGCGCGCTCCTCTCCGGACTCTCCGAGACGTTCTTTGAAGTCCATCAAAGGCGCTCCGCGGTTCAAGGCTGCCTCGCAATCCAGCCTTTCGGCGAGGACACTCATTAATGCAACAGGAGCCTCCACTGCGAGATATTTAGTCAGTGTGGACAAGCGCAGGCAAATAAATCTGTTGATGTGAATGTGTGGAGACAGTAGTGATGAAGCATTGTGTGGCAGGTTATTTGCACCATCATTTGCTGCTAGAAAGTCATAGCAGGGCAGCCAAGTGGCAAAAGCCGAGCCAAGAAGTGAGAAGGCTGCACACACAGAGATGTTTGGGGTTATCCTCTCCTCGAGTAAAAAAAACAATGGTGGTGTGTTCAGCGCTGGCCGGATGCATTCTTCCACAGACAGCTCAGTGTGGTGGCAGCGGGTGGGGGCCTCTGCCAGGGCCGCAGTGGGCTGCCAGGGCGGAGGCTGGCGGAGGGATCGTGCCAGTGGTGAACCTCAGACCACAACAGACGGCGCCACACACTCCATCCTCTCATCGACTCCAAACCAAGCGAGCGCCGGAGCTGCAGGCCACACAGACACACAGGGAGAGGGGATGGTGCTGAACTCCTTTTGTTCTGTAAACACGGGCCCGGCCTCCCTTGAAACAATATCCCTCACCTTGACCGCAGTGAGAAAAACAACACTTTCACCGCTGTAAATCACTCTGCGGGGGAAACCTCTGAGTTTTAGATCGGAGAGAATACAAGTGAAGGAGCTGTTGATGATTTGGTTTTCACACCAAGCTCATGCTACCTTTGATTTAAACCGCAAAATGTCAATCAGTGTTTCCCAAAACCCAAGATGCAGCCTTAAATGTCTTGTTTTGTTCACAAACATATTCAGTTTACTGTCACAGAGGTGTAAAGAAAGCGAACGATCTTTTTACTTTTTTAATGTATCTGTTAAACAGGCGATTAATCTAATAGCTTACAACTAATCAATGAATCTTCCCATATGTACTGTTGATGCATCACACATTACTATAATAAGGAACAAATGGCCTGTTGTGATCAGTGTGTCTTCCATAAATAAGACTTGACTCTTTTTTTTCTCTCCATATATCACGTGTTTATGTTTTATTTTATTTTTTAAATAGCCAAATTCTAAACAATGTATAAGCATATTTGTACTTAACACAATATTAAAAATCGTGCTTTTGCATGAGTCTTTGTGGAGACACTCAGATCTGTCAACCAAACCATTGATCGGTCTGAAAACTCTTAGAAGGGATGGTTGAATAAGTTGCTATCAAGCCAAGGACAGCTGCAGTGACAGAAAACTTTGGATAGAAGATGTCCCTCCTGCTCGGGGACGCGGTGACTTGTGAATCGGAGAGCTCAGCAGAAACGCTCGTGATGGTCAGACAGTTAAATGTGAAATCGGGAGAGCTTAATTTGATACATAGCCTCTAAACACAGAGCGTCAATAACAGTCAGTCAAGCCGTTGTGGTGCAATTAATTGTGCAATTAATTGTGCGTCTCTAGATGCAAAGTAAAGACAACAGTGCTGACACAGAAGTCCTTCTCCGCAGTGATTACATACTAACTGTCCCTCTTTGTCCTCTGCAGTGCCCATCATACACGGCGCTGCGGTGAACTTCTCCATGACCGACATGCCCAGCCAGCCCTACTACCACGACCTGAACTCCAGCGTGGGGCTGCACCGCTCCCTGTCCTCCCCGCCCGGCAGGTCAGTCACAGCAGCAAAGCTTTTTAAAAGTTAGGAGGAAAAACTCCCATAATAACTCATAGCAGTGTTTATTACAGCTATATTGGGAAACGACCAGTTTCCAATTTATTTTCCTTATCCTTTTATTCTGTCTTATTCATTATAAACAAGCAATAAAGTATTCTATTAGGCAGCTTTGGCTCAGGGGTAACATGATTGTCCTCTATTCTGATGGTCGGTGGTTCGATTCCCAGTCCCTGCAGTCAAAAGTTATCTTCAAATGTCTCCTTATAGTGTGCTACCCTGAACAGATGGTACCTTTTTTATATTGTAGCCTCGGACTATTAATGAATGTGTGTGATTGGGTTAATGCTGATTTGTATATGTAAAAGTGCTTTAATGTCACAAAGACTGGTGGTGCTTTATAAATATTAATTACATAATATACATATTTAATTACCATTGTATTCTACAACCAACACAGCATTGGACACACTAAACATATAAACTCATCAGTCAGTGACAGCATTGTTGCAAATCAACAGTACTGAATTATTTCATCATTTTCCAGAACAAATATAAGAAAAACGTTCAAACTATGACAAAGCTAACATTTAGTCAACCCAAAGCTTGTCATTACTGATAATCCATCCTAAAGCTGGGCTGAAAATCCCCCAATCTGCTCACATTTATTTTGAGCGTGTGTTGTCAACAAATCAGGGACCACCTGTAAAAACCTGAACACATCTTGGGCTTCACAGTTTCAGTTATTTTCAGAATCAGAAATCCTTTATTCCTTTCCATAATTACAACAGCTCAAAAATAGTGCAGATTAAGTTGAGAGAATAGATTTACATATTTAAAAAACAACAAAGTAGGCAGACATTATTAATAATAAAAAACATAATAAGTAAAAAAGAAATAGCACATAATTACACCATGATAAAAAAACTAAGTAGCAGTATATTTATACTGTACAAAGTTTTATATTTACACACATAGATGAGTATGGCCACACAAAGACAGTAAGCAGCACTTTTCATCAGTCATGGTTTGTTTCTGTTATAATGTATGATTTGTGTTAGACGCCATCTTGCAATCTTGAAACAATGAAGTCAACACTGAAATATCAACTCCTCCTTGTCCCACAGCAAAAGGCCCAAAACGGTGAACATGGATGAGAACATGGACACGAGCCCGACGGGACCCGACTTCTACTCATCACCCAGCTCTCCAGCCAGCAGTCGGGCCAACTGGCACGACAGAGACGGAGGTGAACTTTTTTTTTGTTACGTTTAAGCTCATTTATTTACTTAAGGGAGTTTTGACAGGCTGTATCACATTCATACAGTAACACAAACATTCAGAGCCCTTTCGCACAGCAGCATGTTGACAGATATTAATGAGGGATAGGAACGCATTATCTGCTTCACCATCAACACATGCAAATAGATTTGATCAAAGAGAACACCTCGCGCTGTCTTTTAACAGCAGCTGAACTGTCTTTAGCTCTCTGCCTTGTCATGAGCTACTGTACATCAATGCCGCCACCCCTTCCTCTGCGGATGAACTGCATCTGGTTTCTCTGCACATGAACCCGCTCAACTCTTAAAATACATGCCATGACAGAGATAGCCCCAGGCTTCAGCACTCGTATAAATGTTTAAACCCATTTGAACCGCTGTCTGAATGTAAATCTGTATTCTCTCGCACCTGTCGCTCACACAAAGGAAACATTGGATCCCACAACACACGGTCCGTCCCGAGAACACACTGTTCCAGCTGAAATACAACACGTGTCTGAAGAGTAACCCCTGGTTATTTTAAAACTGATCAACTTTACAGAAAAAGTTTTACTTTCATACAGTGGCGGAATACAGAGGAATCATGAAGTATAAGTACTCAAGTACATATTGCCATTTCACTTTTTTCTCCACTTATTTGACAGCTTTAGTTACTTTTAACTTTCAGATTTATAGCTAATAAAGTATATTAATAAACATTAACATGTAATTATAGGTTAAAATACCAACCTGCTGTATATCATGTTATTAAAATGAGCTTGAACTCTCCCAGCTGTCCCAACATTAATAATCATAACCCAGTAATTTAATATACATCATTCTCAAAAGGACTACCAAGCACAAAAAGTACTTTAACTTTTTGTACTTTAACTATATTTTGCGGCCATTACTTTTGTACTTTAATATTGCTATTGTTGCCTAAGTAAAAACAGATTTCTTTATACAAATCCCTTGAACACCATGTGATTTTTTAGAGAAATCCCTATTTATAACCCTGATGCAGAGCTCTTCAGGGCGAACGTGTCAGGTGACGTCTCATCAGGAAGTCATGATACACATCTTGGCTGAACTTGAGAGAAATTCCCCATCAGGGAAGTTTTGACGCCAACTGTGAGGACTAGTGAGAAGGGAATAAGAAATAAAGCTCATCTAATGAGCTCACACACAGGGCTTACTAGATTTGAGAAAAGGTAGAGATGCAGAGAAAACAAGCCGTCCTGCATGTGAGAGAGAGACCCTCGCGGGACGGCTCGCACGTCTCATTACGTCGTCTCCTGGTGCAGAGCAGAGCCCGTCACCCTTTTTAATTAAGGCCTCACTGTCCCGTGTTTCCGGATCATTCCCACTCTCTGCTGACTTCTCTCCACACTCTGCTAACCACACTCAATTTCACCAATGTAAGAATTAAAATATTCTACCACATTTATCTTCCAATCCTTTTAAATTGTAATGTAATAAGTACGAAGGCTGAGAGGAAAACACCAGCTGATTCACATATCGCTGCGTTGGAACCACAGCCCATTGTGGGAACATGAAAATGCAGCACAAGGCCTGTGTGTATCGCTCTGTGTAAACTTAGACGCTCTGGGGCGAGGAGAAAGGGAAAGCAGTGGGTAGGAAACTCTCCAAAGACACCCATTATTCTGTCAAGAGAGAATAAATGAGAAGTGGGGCGATATTAAACCCATATGAGGCCTCCTCCAAGCGCCAAGTGGTCACTTCTCTCACATGTGATCGTTCAGGAGGAAGGAGTAGTTTCTCTCGTGGATTTCTAGGTACACATTTAAAATGAAATTAACCATTGAAAGTTTAAACAGTTTTTATTTAAAGTGTTTCATTTCTGGTTATTAATCGACCGGTTTAATTTCCTGAGGCAGAGCAGCCCCAGGATTTAATTAGCACAACAGAGAGAAAATAGCTGAACACCTCCACCGCAGAAAATAGTTTTATACACGGAAACATTAAGCAGTGATATCAATCTTCGGGAGGTATTTCTCCCTCTGACACAAAAATGAAAGCACTTAAGCTTGTATCCTCTTCCAACCTCAGAGTGGGAAATCCCCCAGAATTCCTGCCACCTTTCTCTGGAAATGAGAGACTCTTCCCGTCACTCGAGTGGTTCCTTCCCTGTTTTTGGGAGGAGAGAGCGGTTAACAATGCCTCAGAAATAGGGTTTATTTGACTTCTTTCGGGGAGGAAAAAGATGGATGATTTGAAAGTTATACACCCCAGGAATCTGTGACAGAGCAGAAAAGCTCTTGATGAATGTTCCTAAAAGAAGCAGCGTCTATTTGTTATCACGTTCTCCTCAGACGCCGAGTCTCACCACGGAAAATTGAAAACCGCACATCTGTGACAGCAGCATATTGCTCATGAAAGTGAGGAGCAGCAGTAATAAGCAACATTTGAAGAGTTTGTGTGCATTCTTTCAGTCTGTAAAGCTAAACAAATATTACATATCATGTATTTGGGATTGTTCACGGGGAATCACAGTAGCTTGTCAGAAACCGTGTAAGGCCGAGGCGAGCAGATGTTTCAGTGTAATGTTCTGTACAGGATTGCGAAATTTACTAAATCCTATTTGAGCGACCGGCTGCTTTACTGAGCATCAGATCTCTGGATTTAATTGTCTGCTTAGACGTGACAAAAGCCCAGTTTCCACAGGACTCATATTTCTTGGGGATGTCCAGATTTGTAAGGACTTCCGAGATAATGACAGATTTAGACTGTTTGTGGAGTTTGTCATTTTCAAAATATACCATTGGTTACACTTATTCCTTGTCATTTCTGCTTGATATTAACCTAAATTCACTTTTTGACATGTAACTCCAGGGACATTTTGATTAATTCCCAGCAGCACACAAAATATGTTTCTCTTAGTGCACCAGTAAAGTCATTCTATTTATTTTTTAATGTGAGACACAACACAGAAGTTCCTCTCATCTTGTCCTTTGCGAATTGCTCCAGAAAGGATCAAACACCTTGAATTTGAATAATAAATAAGCCAGATTTTGCGACCTTGAGCGTGCATTCATGTGTTTTTGCGCGTCCTCGTGTGTGTGTTTCCCACCAGCAGACATGTCCTCTCCCACCATGAAGAAGCCAGAGAAGCCGCTGTTCAGCCCCACCTCCCCGCAGGACTCCTCGCCACGACTCAGCACTTTCCCTCAGCCTCATCACCCCGGCCTCACAGGTGTAGGACACAGTGGTGAGTTCCTGCTGACTCCTGAAAACCTGAACCGTTGACTTTAATTCAATATATTGTGTCAACACATTTCACACAACTGCATTAGGTTGGTTGAAAGCAATAATATTAAGTTGAACCGACTATTTAGTATGAATCTTACTGTTTTCATCTAACCTAATACAGTTATGTGAAATCTGTTGACATAATATATTTAATTAAATTCAGTTTTCAGTGATTTCTTTCCTCCAGCGCTGTGGATATAATCTATGTTCATTGACCCTCTCAGATCAATGCTTTGTCTTAGCTCCATCTCACACACTGGATCTCCCTCTCTTGCAGTTATATCGACGAGGAGCCCCCCCCCACACTCGCCCCTGCAGTTCTCGGCCTCGGCGATCCTGCCCCCGGCGCCATCGCCCTACTTCTCGCACACCACCATCCGCTACCCGCCCCACCTCAACCCCTCCGATCCCCTGAAGAGCTACGTGCCGTCATACGACCCGTCCAGCCCGCAGAGCAACCAGGTCAGCCCTTTTTTCTTTTTATTCCTTGTTGTTGTTGTTGTGAGTGTGAAGCCAGTGTGTAGTCCAGAAGTCTTTGGCAAGCGTGTCCTGGCCTCGAGTCGTCCTTTGTTATCTCGTTGGGCTCGGTTCCCATCTGAACTGAGAGAAATTACAGCATGCATGTGTCATTATTTCATTACTGCCTCATTGCACTGTTTGCAAGTACAGACACATCATCCTGTTTTCTGAAACATGCTCCTGGTCATTCATTATGTCATTAAAATGAGGTGTTTCAAAAAAAAAAAACAGCTTTGTCTCGGGGCAGAAAACCTAAAAGATAATAATTATAAATCCCAAATGAGACATTTTAATCCCTTAAGCTGACCACAATTTGATAATATTTGTCCATTTATTGAGCACTTTGCTGCATGTGGGGAAATAATATTGGTCAGTAACCTATAATTACAATAGCCTTCATAACTAATTGGGAATAATTCAATCATAGTTAAATTAAACTACTTTCCATTTTGCAGGCAACCCCAAAGTGACCTTTGCGGAGCACTTCATGTGACAGAGAAGCATTTATATATATTCTGCTTGATATAACGCTCAGGAAAAAGGTTACAGTACACTTGTTGTCTCCATAAAAAAAAGTCAACCAAACTATTGCATTCTCACGTGACGTACAAAAGTGTATCTGGACATTATAGTAAATCAAATAGCTTAGGGCCCTTTATGAATTCTCTCACAAACACTGGTCGCAGTGTGGAGAGAGAGAGCAGGCGTCTCTGTAGATGAGAGAGCCGTGTGATATTTATGTGAGTTTTATATCCCCGCTGTTCTCACTGTAAACAAAGGCCTCGTAGACGGCTCCATCTCCAGAGCAGGGAGCGGGTTACAGGGCTGGGGGGGGGGGGGGGGGCAGCGGAGGGGGTGGGGGCTGTTACTCGAGAGAAAAACCGCGGGGAATGATAAAGGTTGTAAATATTTGCCGTTGCCGGGGCCCGGCTCTTGTGCAGAATTAACTGGCCCTCTGCTGGGGTGCTGGAGGGGAGGGGAGGGGGGGGGGGATAGTGAGGTTGGTTTCAGTAGGGAAGACCAGTTGGGGTAGGAGGGAGGGAGGGGGGGAGGCTCAGCAAATAACACAGCGCTTATAATCCCATGGACGAGTGCCAGGATGTTTTTATGCTTGCTTTAACGCAGATTATATTACACTCTAATTAAACATTCTATTCACATCCAAGGGAACCCTGTGGACACAATTCTCCTGCAGAAAGGCCTGTTTGAGTTTTGAACCCGGGGCGGCCCTGAAATGAACGCCCCAGACAGTCTCCAGCCGCCTGAAAGAGTAGCTCCCACTAGCTTCCTTTCTTCCCTTTTCTCTCCATATATATACTTGCACATTCACGCCATTGTAGCTCTGAAGCGCGCGCTCTCTTTTCATGCCCGACTCCTCCTAAATTCCATTTATGAGCGCCATTAAAATCATTGTTTGAAATCATGTAGGAAATCCATCGTCAGTGACTGAGGATCTATTGTTGCTCACGCCCCCCGAAGTTTTAGTAATAACTGTGACAACGCAACGACTAGAAGTAAAACATATTTTCTTCAGACGGAGCGCTAAGTGTAAAAGCAGTGCACGCACCTTTTGTTGTTGATTTGAGAGCAGACACAGCAGTTAGGAGGAGTTAAACCCCCCCTCTATGAAAAAGGACATGTTTGTTTAGTGCTAACCGTTTTGGAAAAGTGCAGTTTGTTGCATTCTTGTTTTGTTTAATTGAGATCTGCCCAACTGCATATTTACAAGCCAAGACAAGCTTGTAAACATGAGTCACAGTCAGTTTGCCTGTCTTCACATGGGGTTTTGGTGGCGGAAAAAACAAATGCACTTTTTGCTTAAATGTATGTTTCCTGTTAAAACGATTTCAGTTTCTGGCTGATATTAATATTTGCCGATATATTTATACCAAACAAAAACAAAAGCAGATAACTTCCAGATGTGGATCGAACCCTTCCACATATGTTTGGCATTAACCTCTCTTAAGTCTGAAAGAAAAAATCTGGGTCTTTGCTAAAATATGTTTTGTTTTTTCTCCCCCCCCCCCTACAGCCTAACAGCAGCGGTCAGGTGGGGAAAGTCCCGGGACACTTCACCCCGGTCCTGGCCCCCTCCCCGCACCACGGTGCAGTCAGACCCGTCTCCCTCTCCATGCCGGACACTAAGCCCATCACCACGTCAACAGAAGGTGACTACCGACAATACATGTGTGCACAGGGTTCATACAAGTCATGACAATTAGGAAAATGTTTGATTTTATAATTGTTCTCATGGTTAGGAACATGCTTGAATTCCAATACAGTCCTTAAATATGCATAATCTGCTGTTCCATCTACTAAATATAATGTTTTGAATGGAATCATCTTTTTGGGGTCCCACAACAAAAAAACATTCAAATCAAGTAAGCAAAGTAAATATGAACAACTGGTCAAATAAACAAAGTAACAAATATATATTGATTGCGGTCAGTATAACATCTATAAACTTTATTTTTTGCAATTAATAGTAACAATTTAAATATTGTACCCTAAAAGTGCCAACATTATACAAAGGTAGGTGACTAGAGATCAACATTTTTTAAGTGGTGTTTAGTTGGTCTTTTATTATAGGCGATATTCTGAAGTGAAAACGTCCACAGTGTAAAATGCATCGAATATCTAAGTGACTAAATGTCCCAAACTTAAACCCTGTGCACCCCCATCTGCACTGTGCACCCCCACCTGCACTGTGTACCCTTGTGTGTTTGTAGTGTTGACAGATGACTGGCGCTAAGTCACCGTGGATGAATTCCTGAAACGCTAATTGTAATGCAAGCGTGTATTTGTGTTTTTTGTGATGGCATGTTACCCAGGCTACTCAGCCCCTGGCACCCCGACGGCTAACCGGTTCGTCGGCCTGAGCCCCAGAGACCCCGCCTTCCTCCACCAGCAACAGGTGAGAACCCCCCCCCTCCCCTCCCTCCAGCACTCACCTGCTCCTCTTATCCCCTCATTATCTGTCCCCGTCTCCCCCCACATCAGACGTGTTGCCCCCTGTAAAAGCCTGTCGCACTCTGAATGGGATTTTTTGGAAACATTCGACTATCTCGTTAGATAGGCTGAGGTTAAGCAGAGAATTCAACACTAGGATCAAAACGTTTTTCAGAAAAGCATTCATAGCGTTAGGTCATCAAACAAAAGCATGTTGTAGCAGCAATCAAACTTTCTTTGGCTACACCTTCTATGACATGTTATAGAGCATTATAAAAGTACCTAACATCTGCTTAAAACTCCATCATTTGAGATGAACGCACTCATAAATACCCATCATGTCTTATAACAATAATTATAATACATTCATATGAGGCATTTTATCTAGTAATTCATAACTGCTGCTCTCTAAATTGCTTTCTTTTGGCGATCCTATAGCTTTAAAACATTATAATAATTGTATTGTATTTAGAAGTGCTTAAAACTGTAATTATACATTGCTGTAAACAGATTAAAACAAAATTAATTGTATGTTTTTAATGCTTTAAAGACATGGGTGTCATAGAAAGTAAAAGTAAAATATATAAATATATAATTGTATTGCTAGATATATCTCAGTATTAATAACATTTTCTAATGCAGTTTTATTTCGAAGAAGCCTTAAATGACCCACAATTCAATAACCTAAGTGTATCTGTTAGCTGAATAGGAGTAGTTCATGTCGCTATTTGTATTGAAAAATGCACTCTGTGAGCAGTTCACATCAGAGATCCACACATCTAAAAACAACAACACTTTCTCGTAAATGTTTATTACAAAGTGTGTGTTAGAGTTGAAATCCTGCATTGAAGGGTTAAAAAAAGGAATCTATTTCCTTCATTTTTTTAAAGAAAGTCAGGAAATCGACTGTCATTGTGCAGCTGCAGATGGATGGGACATGTGGGTGTCTTTGGGAGAGTAATGTGCTCAGCTCTATTTCCTTCGCACTTAAGAAACACACACACACACACACATGTAATCAGCTCAGTCATCTACGGTACACAGCTGAATATTTAGTGTTGGCGTCTCGTGGTTGCCCCAGCAGCGGCCTTAGGGCAGATGTGGTCACCCCGTGTGTGAGTGTGTGTGTGTGTGTGTGTGTGTGTGTGTGTGTGTGTGTGTGTGTGTGTGTGTGTGTGTGTGTGTATGTGTGTGTGTGTGTGTGTTGTGTGTGTGTGTGTGTGTGTGTGTATGTGTGTGTCTGCGAGGGTTACAGTAGGAGTGTTGTGGTGTTGTTGGACGGGAGAGAGTGCTCTCCCGTCCCCCCCCCCCGTCTTATTGAAAGCGCTGGTCTCAGGCCAAGGCTTTTCCAACCACAACTAATTGAATGCATCTGCACGCGGCTACATAATGATCTCTGGGTTTCTCCTCAGCTCGCCTTTTTTTTTTCTCTCTGTCTTTATGTTTCTCTTTCTGCCTTCCTGCTCCCCGTTTTTTCTCAAAATCAGAGAAGGCCTCAAAAAAAAAATATCGGTGGATGGTTGTCAGCAGTCATGGGACGCTTTTATTTCGCTAGGGAAGAGGAGGAAGAGTTACACTGATGTTGTGCAGTTTGTCTTGTAGACCTTCTACTTTTTTGGAGTGAGGCACAAAGTGGTACACAAAACAGAAGCAGTGTGAGCCAAGATCAGAGGGCTAGCAGACACAGATAGAAGTACCCTTTTGCAAAGTACAGGATGATAATCTAATAACACATATTTGTAATTTGCGTCAGGACACAACGTACGTAAAGATATCTTTGGACATTGGGAAAGACGGTGGCTCAAAATGAGAGTAATGACATGCTATATCCAGATGAATAAATGATCCGGTCGGCTTAAGGGACTCTAAACAGTCCTCTCATTGATTCATCATGCTTCTGCTTGTCACAGTTGTTGTTGTTTTCTGTGGTGTGATTTAACGGCCTGAGATCTGGCCCTGCAGAGCGGAGCGGACCGAGCCAAGTCCCTCAGGACCAAACAGCCTCAGCACCAGCACTCTGTCACCGGCTCGCCTGCTGACGGGGGTTTACTGTGTGGGATCTGTGAGGCTTACCCACACTTTGGGTTGTTTAGCCGCAACCGCTGGTTGCTAGGAAAGGAAAAGGCGTTGAGCACATACGGAGGGTTAACGTTTTGTAAAGTTGCATTCCGTCTGTATGAACGATAGCTGCCATGACTTGCAATGCATCTGACTCGGATTTTTTTTTGGAACACACATTGTTTTAATAAAATAACAAACAATTAATATCCCATGATCCTGGCTCAAACTGCCACTACATATCAGCAATGAGTAGTCGGTATCCATAGGTAGACACTCTTTATTGTATTGGTAATCTTTAAAAAAATGTAGCAACAAAAATGCCTTTCATATATATACTTCCCTGGTTTATATCATAAAAAAGTGTTTATTTTCAGATTTTAACTGACAAAACGACAACAAAGACATTTATAGTCATTAATTATGAGAAACTCCTAATGATTTATAGATTTTTTAAATCATTTTTTATCATTTTATAGACCAAACTATTCATCTAGACAATAACAAGCAGATACATCAATAATAACAAATTATTGTTGCCGTCTTAATGAATAACACTCATATTATTTAATTACTATAAATTCATCTTAATAGTCATTTAATACTTTGTTTTAAAGTTTAAAACCCTTTTCAGAACAGTGCCTATTTTAAAATGTGACACCACTAAAACAGAAGTCCCTGGAAACACACTCTGTCACACACACACACACACACACACACACTCACACACACAGTAGGCTTCAAGAATAAAACAAAACAACACCACCACACGCTCCCACACCTGCTCCATGGTTCCCAGGCAGTGAGTGTGTGAAACCCTCCATTCATCCCTCGCCTTGGTTAACCCCTCGAGGGAATGCCAGCGTGGAGCATTCCGCAGGGAAAGATCCGTGATCAGATGTCATTTGGTATTATCTAAGGAAGGATCCTAATCCACAATCTGCCCGCATCTGTTTGCTAACGTTCCCCGGCTCCGTCCCCCGCTCCCCTCGCTGGCCGTGCCACTGTGATGTGCCGGTGCCAGCGGACAGATGGCGAGCCCCTGGAGGAGCGGTGGCACCGAGCGTCTGGCCCCGCCGCACATTCTCTCCCAGCTTTTGTCAGGCTGCGGAGCGCGGGGGTTTAGTCTCCAACGCTCCCTGAATACAGAGACAACACACAACAACATGCATTGTTTCCCATTCAGTTTAATTAAACGGCTATTGAACCTGTAAAGGGGTTAATGGGAGTATTCTGATTACTGTTAGAGGCATTTTTCATCAACATCTTTTGTAAAATTCATTTTTTAGCCTCAACTGTGGAAACCTCCTGCTTTTTCCTGATGATATCACATTGAAGGGAATATCGTTGAGTTTTAGACAAAAAAAACAAAACATACAGACATCACCTTGGATTGTGAATAACTGGAAGGGACATTTTTTACTATTTTCTGACATTTTATAGACGGATTTAATGTAGAAAATAATCAGCAGATTATCTATAAAGAAAAAAAACGTTATTTGCACCCAAAGTTATAAAATTCTTGAGATGCTTTTAAGATTCCTCATCATCCTTTTGGACCTGTCTGCTGCATTCGACACGGTGAATCATCAGATCCTCCTTCGCACTCTCCAAGCACTTGGAGTTTCAGGCTCTGCACTTTCCCTCCTCACCTCATACCTCAAAGACCGCACCTACAGGGTGACTTGGAGAGGGTCCGAGTCCGACCATTGTCAATTAACTACGGGGGTCCCTCAGGGCTCTGTTCTTGGTCCCCTCCTCTTCTCCTTGTACACAAACTCGCTCGGATCAGTCATTAGCCCGCATGGTTTTTCATACCACTGCTACGCTGACGACACCCAATTAATTCTGTCCTTTCCCCGCTCAGAGACCCAGGTAGTCGCACGCATCTCTGCTTGTCTAGCTGACATCTCTCAGTGGATGTCTGCTCACCACCTCAAGCTCAACCTTGACAAGACTGAGCTGCTTTTCCTTCCGGGAAAAGATTGTCCCACTCTTGACCTAACAATCAACATCGGCACCTCAGTTGTTTCCCCGACTCAGACTGCAAGAAATCTGGGTGTGACCCTAGATAACAACCTGTCCTTCACTACAAACATAGCTGCTACAACCCGCTGCTGCAGATACACGCTTTACAACATCAGGAAGATACGTCCCCAGCTGACACAGAAAGCGACGCAGGTTCTGGTCCAGGCTCTCGTCATCTCACGCCTATACTACTGCAACTCCCTCCTGGCTGGTCTACCTGCATGTGCCATCCGACCTCTGCAGCTCATCCAGAATGCAGCTGCTCGTCTGGTCTTCAACCTTCCTAAATTCTCCCACACCACGCCGCTCTTCCACTCCCTTCACTGGCTTCCGATAACTGCTAGAATCCACTTCAAGACAATGGTACTTGCGTAGGAAGGGCCAGAATGGATCTGGCCCTTCCTACATCCAGGACATGGTTAAACCGTACACCCCAGCACGTGCACTCCGCTCTGCATCAACCAAACGGCTCGCTACACCCTCGCTGCGAAGGGGACCCAAGTTCCCATCAGCAAAAACACGTGGGTTTGCTATCCTGGCTCCAAAATGGTGGAATGAGCTCCCCATTGACATCAGGACAGCAGATAGCTTACACACCTTCCGGCGCAAACTGAAAACTCATCTCTTTCGACTCCACTTCGAGCGATAGAACTATTAACAAAGCACTTTTATACTAATAAAGGACTGGCTTATCTAAAGCCAGTTGAGTAGCACTTGAAATGTTTTTGCTCTATGAAACCTGATGTACTTATATGATTCTGTTTTCTTCAAGTTTGTATTTTGTTGGTCGAACACACTTATTGTAAGTCGCTTTGGATAAAATCGTCAGCTAAATGCAATGAAATAATTCACCCCTGAAATTGCCCGTTTCTTGCTACTACTTTAAATTAGTACAAGAACAAAATCAGGGCCAATAACAAAAACTTGGACTCATATTGAATCGTGTTATAGACCCATCAATCAACGCAGATGTATCTTTAATTCTAAAGTGTTAGATCTAGCTCGAATTACTACATCCTACCTTGAAAGGCTTTTCAGACTCACCCCTAAAATCATCTGTTTCTTGCCAATATGTTGCATGATTTCCATAAGAAATCAAGGCACATAACAAAAACACATCAGTGTATTTAAGTACGGTGTAAGTAGGAGGCCATCATCTTCTCCTGATGTTCATCCAGGTGCTTCTTGACCGCTGCAAATGGCTCTGAATATTCAGCGTCTGCGTCTCTGATTAAATCTCTCTTAAGAGCCTCTGCAGAACGTCTGCCACTGCTCGCAGAGTGCTAACAGTGCAGTTTTACCCACGATGCATTACTAAATGAATGTGTTGACCACAGGGCAAGGTTAGCTGGGTATTGGCAGAGATAGCTCTCAGCTGGATTGCCGACACGTGCGCTCGCATAATGCATGCAAAGGAGACACAGTTTGTGTGTGGCTTTTTTTGTTGCAGTAATTTGTAATCTGTATGTAAGGTTGGCATGTCTTAAAAGTGGGGGTGAGGGTGGTAGTGTGAGCGTGCATGTGTGTGTGTGAGAACGTGTGTGTGAGTGTGCTGTTTAACTCCATTGTAATGTTGACCCCTAATCAATAAAAACAATTTAGCTAATGAAAAAAAAACAGTCTGCATGCTTGAGGGCATGCGCACTCCTTCCTGAATCTGAAAGTGCACTTGCAGTGGAGCGGTGATTATCCACAGCCCGCATGCATCCTGTGGCATGGCTTCATTGGCTAAAGAAAACACCCACCCACCCACCCACAGATGAAATCCCCACACACATGTCACTAACTAACTTTTATTTCCAGGTTAGCTGTCACCACTAACTGTGATTGCATGCTTTTTTCTTTATGTCTGTTTTATCCCGAGCTTTTTTGATTTGACTGTCATTTTACCCAGCACATGTTCCATTGTCAGTAACAGCAGCTAGGACTCATTTTCGGAGTCGTTCTGTATTTCTGCTGCTCCTAGGCTCTTCTGCATGCATCTGTGTTAAGTTGTAGTGTAATCTGAAGTGGAAGTTGTCTTGGCCAAGTGAACTGACTGCTAGGTTTCAATTGACAGCTGAGGAAGTGTGACTGGAGCGTGACTCAAAACGGCAGGCATTATGGCCCCAGTGCCACTGACGACACTTTGGGGATTACTTGGCAAAGGTAACCTTTTCATTCTTTCATGCAGTCTCTCTGTCTCTCTTGCACCACACAAACACACACACACACACACACACACACACACACACACACACACACACACACACACAACACACACACACACACACACACACACACACACACACACACACACACACACACACACACACACACACACACACACACACACACTGCAATGAATAATGCAATATAATTCATTTGATTTATACAATGTCACATATGAATTCACATATAAATCAACATTTTCTGATTTGTGGCTGCATAATTTTAAGAAGGCATCAGATGTGGTGTGACACGGACGATGTCTTGTTTTGTGACAGTCTTCCCCAAAATAGATCTTTGTATTTATGTTTTGAAGTGTTTTTGTGTGAATTTGTCAAACTTTATTAATTCCAAATTGTATCCAGGGTGGGATTCTCTATTGGACACCCAACAAAAACAAAATGTTCTCATTTCATAACACACACTTTTGATGAAAGTAATTGGAACAAATGAAGTACAACCAGGTAGAATAAAACAAAGTCATTCCAGGTCAGCTTTCAGCCACGTGAGGATGTTTTACTTTCCACATTTAACAAGCTTTGCTTTGTTTGACTTTATGCTGAAGTCATGCTTTGCTCTCGTTAACCTAAAGCTACAGAAAGTCTTCTAACCCCCTCCCCCTTCATCTCCCCCCCCCCCCCCCCATGCCTCCACACTGTATCTCTCCCTCTCTGGAGGAAAAAACCTGAGCCATTTCACTGTGGCGGAGCGAGCGAGCTGAGCCTTTTCCTGTTACGTCTTTTCCCCTTTTCCATGCGAGCGTAGATGGTGTGAGAGTTTGTGTGTGTGTGTGTGTGTGTGTGTGTGTGTGTGTGTGTGTGTGTGTGTGTGTGTGTGTGTGTGTGTGTGTGTGTGTGTGTGTGTGTGTGTGTGTGTGTGTGTGTGTGTGTGTGTGTGTGTGTGTGTGTGTGTGTGTGTGTGTGTGTGTGTGTGTGTGCAGATAGTGTGTGCCCGCTGAAGTTACAAACTCTTTTACACAAACAGAGCCCCCTTCAACAGGCCTCCTAATAGGCCGGTGAGGTAGCAGAGAAAATGTCCCCTGCAGCAGGACTCACAGCAGCTAACTCCTCCTCTTCTCCCCGTGTGAGAGTACAGTAATGAGCAGAAAGATCCCAACTGAATTTAGATAATTCTGTTACAAAGATGCCCCGGTAATTCTATTCCAGTTGTTTTCCCTCTTATTAATGTAAAACCATTCCAACATACAGATGGGATCAGTGGGATTTCTCTTTTATCTCTGCTGCCCTTTAAATGAAGCCTCTTCACTTCTATCCCCCCAAATGAAAACGCTGCCAGACCCGCATGTTGCCATTGTGCAGGAAATGGGTCAGCAATCCATTAAGATGCCATTAGATAATCTAATTTAGGGAGCTAATCCTTAAACGAAGCACGCAGTATGCCCGGGCTGTGCTTGCAGGGAGTAGAATTAGTGAGGTTTGGGAGCTTGGACAGGGCACAGGGAGGCCATCTTGAAGGTTACCTAAGGAAATGCAGCGATGGCGGTCAGAGTGCAGAAACGCAACGTTGTACAGACACAAAATATGTAGAAATAGTTGTATTTTAAGCTAATGTGGCTATTTTCTTTTAATAGAGAAAGGGAAATGCTTGACAAATTGGAACAATACCCCAAATTATTTTTATTTGGCACTAGAAGACTGCATTATAAATGTATCTGATTGCACCGTACCAAGTGAAGATGTTTGTATTCAAAGTTAAGTAAAATCCTAAATTAAGTCTCAATCAGTAGCGAAGGCAGGACTCCAGCCGCCCACTCTGTGATTTAGCTCGATAGTAGAGAGGAAATCTTTACATTGAAGTCCTGCCCAGCGCAGCTTTAAGTTATGGGATGCAGATTCAGACTGACAGCCATCGATTTTAACAAGATTAAAACCGATCTGCCGGTTTAGTGCGTACAAAGGCCTGTGAGTCTGCTTTTGTAGCTGTGTGGTCCCCCTTTAATCTTAGCCATTACCTGAGAGGAGTCTCGTAAGGACAGGGAATCAGGGAGGGATGGGAGGAGGGAGAGAGGGAGGGAGAGAGAAAGGGAACGGGGAGAAGAGAAAGCTCTAGCACTCTGTGCGCTCTTTGTTCAGCAAGGTAGGAAAAACGTAATCCTCCCTTTCCTGTCCGATGATTTTTGGCAGGGTGAAAGAGAGAAGGAGGCGGGGGGAAGAGAGAGAGGATAGCATGAGGACGGGCTGGGTAGGAGGAGGAGGAAAAGACTTTAGAGAGGATTAGCCTTGAGGTTGTTTTTAACTCTTTGCACACTTTGAGATGTTTGCTTTTATTTTGAATACATCTTCTCTTCTCTGTGTTCGTTCAAGCTTTATACAAGAAAGGCACAGAGGTGAATGGAGTTTGCACTTTTCAAGTAGAAGAGCAGTGACTTGACACCTCTTCCACTTCTGCAAACACATTTTTTCTTTATCTGTTCCTTTTCAAACAACTCCTCTCCTTGTTATCATCTCCCCAAACATGACCTCCTGTCTACTTTTTCAACATCTTCCATCATCCTCCCTTCCCAGCTCTTCTTTATGCGTCCACGCTCCATCAGAAGAAAGTTAGTACACGGTGAACCGGGTAGAAAGTGTTCGACGCAGGTATTCTCAGAGTTAGTGGTGATGATGTGAGAGGGTGTTAGATGAGTGCACACAGGGGGCCTTTAGGGGAGAAGGGGGTGGTGGTAGTGGGGGGGGGCTAATTATCTGACATCTACGTAGCACAGCACCCCACGGGAACAACATGCTGTTTGTTCCCCGCTCGCGTTTTCAGTTAGCACCGTTGCTCCCCAGGAACAATCACTGTGTTGTTTTGCCATTAGCGTGAGATGAATAGGGATGGGACAGCTTTATGTAGGACCCCCCCCCCCCCCCTCTCACACTTTTTTACCCTCAACCCCCCTCCTCCTCCACCATCACACACTCCCCCCCTCATTCTACACCGCCATCAATGCAGAGAGGAGAGCCTGCGTCATGGCTCTGGGAATCAAGTGGAATCACCTCAGTTTAGATTAATGAGCTACGGCGGCCATTTCTCTTTTTGTCCGAACGAAACAAAAAGCAGACCTTGAACCCTGATGGCTGCTGGTCGTCAGCAAAGCAGTGTGCAGGATAACTGAAATAAAGAATCTGATTTTGCAGAAACAAGCTAACGGCATGTGACTAATCTCTCCTTCTCTCTGTGTGTCTTCTCTCCACAGTCCTGGTACCTGGGCGAGCTTAGTTCCATTCCAAGTATCGAACGGGACTCCGATCCTGCCAACAAATGTCCACCAGAACTACAGCATAAACATCATTGGTGAGCCGCTGGTCCCCGCTGAGACAGGGAACTGAACACAAAGCCCCCCCCCCCCCAGGGTGGATGCATGGCCGGGGGGTGCTGGTGGTGCACAGCCAGCCCTACAGGTGTCCGCAGCCATGGATGAAACCAGCAAAGCAGCACGAAGCTGCACAATCGTCCCCTAACTCCCCATCTCTCCCCCTTCCTTGCCCCCCTCCCACTCCCCCTTTTGAAGGACACTGGCCGTGAAGTGAAGGGTTTTTTCGGAGGAAAGAAAAAAAGCTTCAGGTCTGCCGTGTCCCCCCCCCCCCCATCTCCACCTCCACCCACCAGTCAGTCGTTGTGTTGGAAGAACTTCTCAATCCATTCAAATACTGTGATGTATAGATGCCTTAATGTTTTATTGCATGACACTCTAGTCTCTTAGCGGCAATTCCTACTATTTTTCCGTGCTGTGGGAGGAAGTAAAATCTTGATTTACACACACACATACATGAAGAGGTCTGCGCAGCAACAACCTCTGCCTGGTGGATGGCTCTGAGACTCTAAGCTCTCCGATCAGACCTCTTGAAAAGAGGCCCCCCCCCGCGTCAAACGATTCACTGTGTACACCATAGGAACAAAAAATTGTGAATTCAGAGTTTCTTCTTGCGTTTGATTTCAGTTTACTGTGATAAGACTCTGTTCAGAAAAATGTGTTGACTTTGTTTATTCTTTACTGCTACTTACTTTAAGAATTAACGTGAATACTTACGGTAAGAGTTGAGAACTCTTGATGCGGTTTTAAAAAAACACTAAATGTTTGGCTTGAGATTGGACCCCTCATTAAAAGAATTTGCAACTCCTTTACAAAAGGATCTAAAAAGACAGAGAATATGAAAATCGCGATAGAGGCAAGTGCAATGGAATTTTTTGAAGGGAAGCTATCAGTCTGTCAGCCCTAAGACTCTAAAGGAAAGGGGATAAATATTAAATGGTTTTATGGGTAAAATGTTTAAGAAAACATTTGAATTTGATTTCACTCACATATCCGTCTTCTCACATGAGAAAAACATCGAGCGTGGAAGGCAGTTGAAGGCAAGCACTGAGCTGCCGGTGCAGCGCTGAGCAAAACCAGCTCTTCTTTGAGCCCTTCCCATCAATAGGGGAAGTATTTTATATTTATTTTGGGGAAAAAATAAGCGAACATAAGTAATGAGACACACAAAGTGTGTAAAAATTGCATTTAATTGTTTTTTTAAAATGTTCACGATAAGATCAAGAGCGTATGCATTTGGCCATCAGCTTCTAAAGCTTATGTTTACAAAAAAATATATGGAATGCAAAGTGTTAATCCATGGAAATGTACAATTCATGCAAATGTACAGCAGGCTTATGTGTAAAGCTACAGTTTGTGCAAGCTGAACTCTAAAGCGGAAGAGGTTTAAAACTGCAAGATGAATCCAGGTGGTGGCAAATCCCTGAAATCTAGAATTGTGCACGGCATGTTCACAGCCATTGCCTCTCCAGTCCAGACATATTTATACAAGGAAAATCTCTCCAGTACTCTTAATTTGCACGATGACATATAGTCCACATTACGTGCCTTGCCTTTGAATATAGAGACATCACTACACTTGTTTTTGCTGCATTTATCATTATAGAAAAAATTAACATTTTTATGATAAGAATTGTTTTGTACTCTGAATGAAATTGTTGATTTTTAACTTCATGTACTACTCTATTTCACAGTTACATTGCATATCAAGGCTGTGTATAGTTGCCGTTTTAAAGTTTGTAATCAACCAGCATTTTTTTTTTTTCTCAGTATTTTTGGTGGTTTTTCTAATAACCTGTCATTTTTTTGTTTTTCTTATTTTTCAATGCTCATTTTGTTCATCTTCCAATTACTATTGTGGAGGGTGGAATTCAGAATTATGAAAATTATGCAATACCAAGTTTTGCCTATGTAGGTAGTGCTTATAGATGCGTCAATTATTAGAGGCTAGTTTGGAGATAGACAATATTGTAATGCATTTATTTTGTTGATATCGTTGTTTGTCGTTGTTGTTGTTGATGATGTTGTTGTTGTTGTGGGTGTTTTTCCTTTTTTATTGACCAAAGTGGGGACTGCTTTCTATGCAGTGTATGACAAGGTCTTTATCTTTTTTTTCTTTTTTTAGCATTTAGGCCTACCGAATGACGGTGTGTTCCAGTGTATTTTGAATTTGCGAGTTTTAGAGGGAGGGGCGGTATTTTTCTAGAAGTATTTTTTTTTAAAGTGCACCCTTGGTCTTTAAACGGCTGCAAAGTCACTGATTGGTCTACTGTGACTCTTACTTTTAACTTTCCACCTGGGGTGCTAGCATGTGACCTTGAAGGAGTTCATTTTTCACAGGAGAGACGGCTTGACTTGAGTATGACAATCATTTTAAGAAATCATTTTGCGTCGAATCCCATTCTCTCACAGACCCCTTAAAGCTGCAACTGAGGACGGATACCGTTGCCCGCTTGTATCGAGTACTACGCCGTACTATTCAAGACGTCACCTGAATGCAATTCCCAAGTAGATGCCTTAAACACATCAGTGAAGTGGCCTGTGACCTGCGCAACAATCACACACACCGACTATTGCTAGTGAGACCTGTCCAAATCAGTTCCAGACGGGCTCGAGCAAGCCTTTAGAAAGTATTTTATAAGTAGTAGATTTGTATAAATGTATATACGATATGCACATATGTGAATTCCTGAGATACTTTCCCAGCAGAGAGCCCAGTAGAAGTAAATATTGGAAGCACAGAAGTGTGGTGTTTTCTGATTTCGTGTCCTGTGGCCCCGTAGAAGCTTAAATAGAATCCACTAGAAGAAAAGAATAGCACTTATCTAGCACATAGGCAATCTTCTTCTCCCCCGTACAGTGTTTTGAAACCTAGTCTTAAACTAAACTCTCAGGCGTAATACAGGGCATTATTTATATCATTATCATACAAAAAAACTCTTCTCACAGAGAGAGCAGCGTTTCCAATGCTGCTATGACACCTTTTGCACTCTTTCCTTACAATCGTGAAAGAAACGTTCCCCTCGGACAGACCGGGGCTCTCCGGCAGTCGTAAGCAGAGGGCTAAGAAGCAGAAATCGTTTTTAAAAATAATCCTCAAGTCAAGCTCAATCTCTCCGTCTTCACCCATATTTCTTATGCAGAAAATGTTTAAAAAGTCACCCCGTTCTATGTGCACTGTTCTGTCTTTTTTCGTTGTTTTATTCTTTTTATTTGAGAAGAAAAACTATAAGTGCTTTGCAGCCTTTGGCCATTGGAGACCCCACTGACGTGCATTGTCCCCAGTTGTGTGTGTGTGTGTGTGCGTATGCGTGTGTGTGCGTGTGTTTGCCTGTGAGTGTGCGTGATAAAATGTGTCAGGGTCACTGTGCTGTTGGTGTTTATTTGAATAGGAGACTGTACATAAAGGTAAATATCCTGATTGCGTCGATAGCAGTAGTCTGTGTGGTTGAACTCTGCGTTGGCAGCTTGAGTGTTAGTGTGCATGTGCGCGTGTGTGTGTGTGTGATAGAGTGCCTCTGACACTACACAATGAGAGAAGATGAGGGTCTTTCTATTGAATAAAAAAAAAAAGCCTGCCATAGGACAGGAGTTTGTACACTGGAAACTTTCTCGAGAGTTCTCCTCTTTAAGCCCTTATTTGTAAATCTTCAATTCTGGGGAAAAATGTGTCAATTCCATTTTAGGAACATTTTTTAATTTGGTATTTGTTTTGGAGGCTGGATTTGAGTTAGAACTCTCCAGGATTTCCAGATTATTAGAATCTAAAGTGTTGTATTCCTGTATGTATAGTAAACATAGGGGGAAAATATTCTATACAGATCCATAGATATAAAAAAAAACGACAACAATGAAGGCTTTTTGTTATTAATATTATTATTTCTGATCTTGGTTGGTTAGTGCTTAGATATTTACATTTGGGAAACACTTCATGAATATTTGAATTATTGTTCTTTGATTAGTGTGGCCATAGCGAGTTTGATGTGATTTATCTCATTTTTTTGCAAATGGGTGTGAATTCTTGTCCAACAAGATGTTGGTGTGAGTGTGTTTCGGGAGCAGCTGGGAGGTGTCTTCGCTGAACCAGTAGAAAAGGCCCCAGATTGCACCTGAACTTGAGCGAGAAGCAGGGTAAAATCTGCAGTGACAAACGTCCTCGATGAATCTATCAGATAGTTTCTTTTTTTTCTTTTTCGCTTCTTCTCAGAGGAAATGTTGTGGGACGATTGGCGCTACATTTGGACTCAGATCAGATTCGGCAGGCCAATGTTGAGCTGTTTAGTTTATTTGTATGCAGACGACACTCTTTAATATCTCTTTCATGATCAGTAACTACATCTAGGCATCACTCATGAGTCATTTTGCACATTCCACATGCTGTTTATGCCTGATGTGATGTAAAAACACTTCATTAACACTACGAACGAACATCACATTGTACTGCAGGTGCTTTAGAATAGGGTACTGTACCTTCCAGCTGTTAAAAGCTAATGTATTTGGGCATGGTCACGTATTTCTATCGCTACGCAGAGTGTGGATGTAGCCTGTTAGAAAGCTCTTGAAACGTGTTATTAGTCTACCATCCCTTCAGAAAGAGCCATATCCAAGGAAGATTTGACAACATTATTTCAGAAAGTATTAGAAAACAGGACATCTTTATGCAAGGAGGACCTGTGGCACTCATGCAATATGTATACTTTTCTTTGAACTGAATGTCACACACTCTGCAGGGACTGAGAGGGCGTATGCATGCAGAGGACATTTCATTTTCATCCTACACGAGCAATACACACCTTCCATTCGTTGGCTAGCTGCTAGTCACTTGGCATCAGGTTGTTATAAAACATGAAAAACCAGCATTTTTACAGGATGTAACATTCACCAAAAGAAGACAAAAAAGATAGCAATGCAGTGCCTGTTCAAGCTGTCCGAGTGTCTATTGTATATAATTGTAAAATGTGATAGACTTACTTTCATATGTGACATGAAAAACAACCATCACAGTACAGAATGTGGCAAACTCATCTAGAAATAGGCTCTTTATTTCTTCTGATGTTTTTTTGTTGCGATTTATTCATTATGCCCACATCAAGCTTGTTCAAAATTAGAGAGGAAATGTTCATTCTTCTTCTTTTTTCTTTTGTTTTCCGGGAGGGGCGCGGGGGGGGGGGGGGGGGGGGGGGGGTCAGTGCTACATTACGAGCAGTGAAAAGATCAAATAATGTCTTTTCTCTGCAGGGCTGATTTATTTTTGGGGTCTTGTGGCACTTTTAAGTCCCTCTGCGCACACATTTTTGACCACGTGATTGATGGTGGAATTATATATAACGAACAACAACAACAACACCAACAAAACGATATGTAAACAGTCTCCAGTAGTGATCGTAGTTACACTGCAAGTGTGTGCAAAGGTCTATGTATGTATCTGAATGTACGTTTTAGAGGACTTTTTGGAAACCTTTTTTGTTTTTTATCTTTTCATTGACAGTTTAGGAGCCACAGGTGTCCATTGTGAACTGTATAGCGAAGGCCTTGATATCCCTTCTTTTATTGATTTTAGAAACGCCGAGCATTAGGCAATGCCTTCAAGCTGGTTACATTTGGTGCAGGGGCTAAAATTGCCACAAGATTAAAATCAGTGTAAATAAAGGCTAAACTTTTTGTGATTGTTACTGTTATATCCAGCCTATACTGCTAGCAGCTGTTTTTACTGCAGTCAATTACTGGAAGTGGATATATTTCCTATGCAAAACTGTTTAAACAATAAAATGAGCTATGCTACAAAAACGACTTTCATGTGATGGCTCTTTCTTGCATTTGTTTTTATTTGATTTTCAATGATTGCAATTTCAGACCTAAATATCAAATATCCTGTTTGAAGTTTATATCTGTCGGTTTGATCAGGTACACGATACATCTGTGTTTTCAAGTCAGTTGGCTGGAAATTGTGGGGAAAAAAAATATTGAACTGTTCTTTGTTATTTAGGGACAGTATGAAACTGATTAGAATCGAGAGAGGGTCACAGCAGGGGAAGGGTATATTTTAATTTCCCCAGATGTATTCTTCCCTTGTGATTTAACATAGAATAAATACATAAAAAGGTCAAATAGCTGCATCACAAAGGTGTTTTTTATATTTAATGCAGCACTCTCAGGAAACTGTCTAGAACACATGTGTCAAACTCAAGGCTCAGGGGCCAAATTAGGCCCTTGGTGGATTTAATTTCGGCCCGCACGATAATTTCTAATTACTATTAGATCTGGCCCGCCGGTATATTGCACGCACACTTTCACTCAATCCTGAGGATTTCCTCAGCTCAGAGCCTGAGCCCAAACATTGATGACCTTGCACCCAAGATGAGATGCCAAGTATCTGGCTTGAGCTAGCATCACAGAGCAGCAAACTGAGGAATAGTGTGACACTCGAGTCCTTCTGAAAGCCTCAGAACTACTACCTGTGCCACTCATTCTGTAGCTATACAAAAAAAATTAGCTATTTACTAAGGCCTGGTTACGAATATCTACAGGTTTTTGTTTTTTTAGTTAAAGCTATCAAAGGGTGAGACAGAAGGGATGATACACACATGTGGGCTGGATTTGAACCCGAGTCCTCATCTCGGGAACTAAGCCCAAGTACATGGGCCATCAGCTCCACCAACTTATACGATGGTCTTCAAATGCATTATTGTGAGTCAAGAAAAAGTTTAAAGAAACATTAACAATGCTATGTTGGGCCTCGCTTTTTTCATTTTAGATTAAACCAATATGTACAGTATCTTTAAGAGCTGAGCCGAACTGCTCTCTGTATTAGAGTGCAAGATAACTGGCACAACGTTCAGGATGGTCTCACTAAGGAAAGCAAGGCTGAGAGAGGAAAACAAGGTAAGTAATTGCTGCAGGGGTGGAATAAGGACAGTGCCAAATCAGAGGAATTACGACCATTTGACTTAAAGTATTAATGTAATTGGATTTGGGTGATTCTCAGAAGTGTGTCTGTGACAGTTCTTCCTAAAAGCAAACATTAGTTTTCACGTCCTGGAGCGATCCCATGACCCCACATACCCGTGCTCCAACGTGTAATTTCTCAAGCTAATCTACTGTAATACCCCAATCCCTGAAGAATGGGCGGCAGACGTGTTTGGACCACAGCAGTCTGCTGGTACCTCGGAGGGTCAGGTAACATCCATCTGGGTCACTGTGTCAAGTACATGAAGCTCTGATCTAGTAAGCCTCTCTAATGGAATTGAGGACATTGAAAGAGTACGGCTAATTAAGTCTTATTACGGCTGTGTGATAGGCTCAGGGCTCAGCAGGACTCTTGATGACAACAACAGGCACCTTCAGTCAGACCCACATGACCCGGTGCCCTGTCCAGACCTAGGGCGCCCTCCTACAGGCCCGTTGAAGCCCTGCATGCAGCTCAATAATCACAGCAAAGCCCACCTGGCTTCGGGCACAAACCAGAGTTCATTTGGCTATCATTAAAGAGGACCAACAATGTGGCACGCTGATATAAAATTACCCGATCTATAATGGTAATCATCATGCCATTTATCAAAATTGGCCAGTTGAGTCAACATCTGGCTTCAATAGGGGGCTATAGTCGGTGAGGGTCTTGGCAGCGTCTTGTACCCTACATATTTTCCACTCTCTTTTATCAAGGCCTGCTGTCGGTGATTTGACGAAGCTAAATAGATGATGATTTGGCCCTATTATGTTTCGCAGGGCTCAAGCAAAGGGGATTTGTTGATTGCCTTTGTGTTTGTCCACTGTTTTTTTTTCTCCTTCTTCTACCCTCATGGATCCAGGAGAGGTAACGGCGCCTTGTGGTTCTTCAACAAGCGTCTGCACCGGAGAGAGGATGGAGAGGGGGGGGACAGCACAGCGAGTACTCTCACACAACCCTGTGAGCGCAGGGCCTGCACCGGGCCGTTGGACGCGAGCCAATGCCAGCACAAAGAACTCTGTCACATCCCCAAGTTTTATGGGAGGAATATAATATTCATCTTGTGTGCTGTTAGAATAAGGTAATGAATTTATCTGATCCATTTTGTCTTTTGGCATCAAAGTATGAGTGTAATACACTCTATCTACAAATTCATTAAGGTGTAATTAGTTTACGACCAAGGGAAATATTTTGTTCGTGTTTGGTGCAGACAATGTAGACCTCGTGATTTTTTGGAAGGAAACAAAAAAATAATAACCTCAAATCCCTTTTTGAAAATAAATCCACAGCAGATACGGTTTTAATATGCATCCACTCAAAGGAATAATTCAACATTAGGGTAAATACATTTTATGCCAAGAATGTGAGAAGATCAATATAATGATTAGCTTAGCTTAGCATAAAGACTGGAAAAAAGGGGGAAACTAGCCTGGCTCTCAACAAACACATAACATATCTTCATAACTCTTAGGCTCTTTATTTAACATTAACCATTTTGTCACTCCTTACAAAAGAAAAGTGTAAAAAAAGACAAGTTGCAATTTTACATGGCAGCAGCTAGCTTTTGTGCTCATTAAGCTAAGCTAACAATCGCCCAACTGTAGCTTCATATCTCACATAGCCTACGAGTTGTCCTGATATTCTCCAAAAAGTAAAACAAATGTTTACCATCATGACAGCCCTCTGACAGTAGGGTGTGTTTCATTAAAATGTATTTGGAGATATCCAAGGGACAAGACATTTCACAACAGCCCATATCTTTTGATTTAGAGCTTCGTGAAGGAACACTCAGAGACAACAGCCTGCGTCTGTTTGCAAAAATGTGGTTGAAGAGAGCTCTGGGAATAAAAGAAGGCTGTCTGAAAATGCACTAGTCCTAAATAGCACTCTCAGCTCTGTGTATTCCCACACACATTTGCATAAATTTCATAGTCTAAGTCATGCACTGTGGCTGGAGCGTGTTATTAGTCTATCTTTACGTGGTAGTACAGGCAGAACACACTGAGGGTTGTTGTTATCTCATTGAAAGCACCCTGGTATTACACCCTGCGGATTGAGAGTGGGTCTTAAGATCGTGGGATTTGTTCACATATTAAAGCATGTCTGTTTGGATGCGCAGAAAAGAAACAGGTGTTCAGTGTGTGTGAGTGTGTGTATGAGAGAGAGGAAGCAAACTCATGTGTGTGTCTTTGTGTTGCCCCCCGTGATGTTTGTTCGAAAGCATACACGCACATAGGATGAGAACACGCTGTTCATTGCCTGTGTGTGTGTGTGTGTGTGTGTGTGTGTGTGTGTGTGTGTGTGTGTGTGTGTGTGTGTACATGTGTGTGTATGACTTGACAGAGGGGTGGGGGTGCTTTATTGAAAAGTACTCCTCTCCTCCCCTGTTCAACATGCTGGATTAGCACCAGCAGTTTCCCATGGAGCCGTCCCTCCCAGCCCCCTGGCCATTTGCATAAGGCGCAGACAGGCGGAGATGTGACAAACAAACCTGGCACACACAGCGCCGGCTGCCTCTTTACATGAACCCTTTGCCTCGTTCTTGCCACGACAAGAAAGAGACACAAGATAGAGTTTGAGCAAACCCACCTGCGTACACTCGGGGCCTGTTTCCTGAGTCCAAACTCCATGCTGTAAATAAAATTAGAGGCAGACTGTGGTTTGAGGCCTGTATTTCTGCCCGTGATCATAGTGATTCACGTGTCAAGAAAAGCAAAGGGCTGAAAGGAGGTGAGAAGGGCTGTCATTTGGACAAAACTGCCCTGAATCAAAGCATCCTCCCCCTCGTTTTTCTTTTCCTCCAAGATGGTAATGTTCACCTTAAAACATCTTTACTGTACTGTAGCTACATAACACAGCTCTCTGCACTGCTGTCTGGCCGCCAAGTTCCTATCGAGCCTCTGATTTATGGCGCTTGATGCATTCCTTGGCCCTGGCGAGGAGGCAGCTGAAATATGAGAAGAGATGCAGAGAACACACTCAAAGTGTGTTTCAGTTTAGCCTGCCTGTGCACTATGTAGCTGGTGCAGAGTCAAAGTTTTGTCTTTGCAAAACCTGAAACAGCTTATTTTTTTAATCTCTAGATTGGAAAATATTTCAACAATGTGACTGTCTGCCCCATCAGCATGTCCGGTTGTGTGATAACAGGAATAAACTGTAACCCAGCTGTCATGAAGACCACAAACCCCCTTTTGTTGGTTGTGACATGCAGTTTTCAGCCTCCTAAATTACATTGGGATTAAAAATGTTAAGTACAACTCCTTGCCTTTTCCTGTCCACTTACACGAGGAAAATTGCATGCAGGTGTATGACGGAAAAAAGATCAACAACTTTACAGTAGTATTTTGTTGTAAATGGCTTCCTTGCGTGTGCGGTAAAGACCCGTAATCAATCATAAAGGCTTTAAGGAGCTGTTTGTCTTCATTTGGTTCTTAATGTAAAATTGCTGATAAACTAAAATCTGATAAATAGAAACAGACATTTGTGGAAAAAGCATATGAAGCGTTCACTGTGCATTGCTTTGTCTGCTGCCCCAGTTACAACAGTGTGATTACATGCTTTATTAAGTGCTGAAGTGCTCTCTCTGAGTAAAAGCAGATGTCACCACAAGGTCTGTCACTGCGTCTGCATTGGGGTGCCTGTGGTCAGTGTCTCAGCCCGCTGTGGTTTCCCATTATTCAGCACACAAAATCATCACCAAACAGACGGGGTAAAAATACACACATAAAGATTTGAGCTTTTTGAATCACTGCATGTTGTCTGTTTCCCTGAACATATACAACAGTATGCTAGAAATTAAGACGTCCTCCACTGCAGAATAATGTGGTCTGGCATGAACATTTTG